CCCATCATCTCCTCCAACATTTCAAGACAAATAAGAGGAGAAGTATCAGGAACTGGTAGTACTCTAGATGCCTGAAAAATACTTCCCAACTGGACACCTACCAACGCAGTTTTAACCAGCTGCTCTTCCCTACATATAACTTCTATTTCATTAGTGCATTTTCTCATAGCAGGCCCATTTTGTGTTTGCTTTAGCAAGCAAAGGGGAAACAAGAACAACCAGTCTAATATTCAAGTTATATTCAACCTTTGCATTTCTGAATCTAGCAAATTAGGTGAATTGCTTGAACTTGAAGTCATATCACAGAACTCATTAGGTTTGTTATCACATCCATTAACTGACTAGTTTTGGTTTCTCCTGTTTGTATTTGATTTTCTGCCTAATTTGTGCCACAGTTCTCCAGTATTGTTCTGTATTAAAAAAAAAAAAAAAAGAAAAAAAAAGTGAAAGAAAAGGCACTGTTGAAGAAAAACCTCCCCAAGAAAAGTGCTATTTATAACTTGCCTTTTGTCTAGAAGTAGTTGTGTAGTATTCTGTTTCTTTGCTAAACAAACTTGTTTTTAGTCAAACTAATATTTTTAAAGTCTGTTTCCTGGCAAATGATATTATAGAAATAAGACTGGCTAGCTATCAATATGGGAAAAATACACAAAACTGGATTCTACTTCGTGATACAGATGTAACAATTTTTAGAAGAATTTTATACTCTGACAGATCCCCTTTCACTCTTACTTCACAATCACTGCAGGATGCATGTCTTTCTGCAGTAACACCCATTCGTGAACACATATGCAGTCATTCACGTGGGCAGACTAGGGATAAAGGAAGGAGAAAAAAAAAAAAAAGATAAAGAGCAATACCAAAACTCACCCATGTTTCATACAAGCTTTACCCAGTACACCAGAATTTCTCCATATCACATCCAAGGAACATCCTTCCCAGACTATTTAGTTCATTTCCTGATAACCGTTTTATAATTATAATAAGACATTGTATGTAGCAAATTTACCTCTTCCTTCTGATAATTGGATGATTTCCACAGAAACAGTTCAAATATAGTAAAAGAACTGCATGTTGATTAAAACACACTGATGGTGTTGCTATTTCTTTGATGTTGTAAAAGGTCCAACCATTTTCTCTATTCCACCTTATATTTGCCATATTATTTTAGGGAAATAGCATTGTTTTCCAAATTTTACATTTATTTTTCTTCTTTTTCATTCCCTGATCTGCTTCCTCTTCTTAGATATTAAATTCAAGATATTTTAAACATGCCACTTATGCTAGATGACGAAACATCTTCCAAGTCAACAGTCATCCATGCCCTTTTGCTTTCTCCTTGAAGTCTTTTCAGCTTTATAGAAGACTTTATTTAGTGAGCAGTAAGGCCAACATAGAACTGTCATGTGGGTCCAAAATGTAGAACACTGTTGACAATAATCCATTTTCCATCTCCAACATTTCATGAATCCTGGAAGAAGGTCCAGAAGGTCCACATTCACCCTGCTTGTGATGTACAAACACTATTAAAACTCCACACTCCACCTTTACTTCTTAAAATGATACAAAGAGCGCTCTATCTTAACTGAAAGATATTAGTGAAATGACTAAATAAAATATCAGTAGCCTGGAAACAAAGCTTTTGTACAAAGCCCCAAGATGATATGTTAGTAAGACTGTAACAAACAGATAGGTACAATATGCGCTTTTTGGTGCAAAATATGTAGTTCTTGATTCCTGCTCTGGAGAGCTCACAGTCTAAAGAAGCCAGCACGATACAGGGCAAGAGAAGAGTCGCACATGGGGAAGCATAAAGGGGAAAGAAGTGCACTCTGTGGAAGCAGGTTTGTGTCCTTCTAAAGCCTGTATGCAGCATAATAGGTACTTCTCAATTTTTTTAATACATACAATTATTTTTTAAACAACAATGACGTGGTCAGCATCAAGACTCTGTTCAATTTGTTCACAGACATTTACTAAAAAAAACTAAAAATGGTACCAGACAAGACAGACAGAGGGTAGAAAACAGAGGGGCAAGAGGTTATCTATCTCATCATCTGGCAAGCAGGAAAAGACCCTTGTCCTTGTTTATATAAAGTATTGGTCTTATCATTTTTCAGTAACTGGGGATATCACTACCCTACAGAAAGGCTTAAATAAGTAAAAACGAACAAACAACAACACAGTCACAAGGCAGAACGGCAAAGAAATAAGGAAAAGCTAAGATAAAATTGGACAGAACTCCAAAAGAGGTGGCTGAGAGAAAGGAAAAAAACATTTCTTCATTACAACAGAAGATCTAGAAAGGCTGACTGCAGTGAGCTGGCAGAAGAGTGAGAAAATTACAGGAGAAAAGCGAGTCCATGGAAAGCTGAAATCCTGGAGGAACAGTCTGAAATGCATTCAGAAAGGAAAAGAAAGCCAGTGGTGGAGGAGAAAACAAATAGTAGACCAGAAAAACAGTATGGGGCAATACGTACGTATCCAGAAGTGCTTTTTTACTTATACTGTAATCGTAGTTTACCAGAAGAGGGGAAAATTAGCTTAGTGTATAATTAATCTAAATACTTTGGCATACCAAATTTGGAAAAAAAAAAAAAAAAAAAAAAAAAAAAGGAAAAAATCCCAACCTCTAATACAACAAACCCACAAGCTAGAATACTCTAAAACTACACCATCCAAACAACAACTCAGAAACCTACTGCTGAGAAGAGCACAGCAGTGATTTCTCTTATTTAAGTAAATGGACTGAGAATAAACTTGGGATTAAGCTGCAAAAGTTATTTCATTAGGCAGAAAATGGTTAACTGTACTTTAATCAACTGCTTTCTCCAAGGATTGTGGAAAGATATATTAGTAGTGATACACAGCTGTACAGCTGTAATTGTTATCTGTTGTGTTCTTCATGCAATGAGTGTTGGATACCACAAACAAAAGATATAAGTCAACTCTTGAGCAGCAAACACAGGCTGGCTGCACTGAGCCTTTACAACCACCTGATTAAGCATGCAGACTTCTTGCTATAAAATTCAATAAGCTACTTCTCAGCAGTGCTGCACAGCCTCTGGATAACTTACAAAACAGCTTTATATCCCTGCGATACTATGAGGCATATTCCAGAATTTGACAGTTTTTGTGCATAAGCCCACGCAAACTTCTTGGTTGAGTTGATCTTAGTAATTTAAATCCCTTCAGACTTAAAGATGCTAGAACAATCTGAACCATTTCTTAGAAGCTGGTATAAATGACAAGAACTCCTCATTCATTTCTTCTTGTTCACTAAATTTTCACATACATTGTTCAGCCATACAAAACACTTCCCTACTGGCCCAGCTGCATGAGAAATCAAACTATTTTCAGACTTGAAAAAAAAAAAAGTCTAAAAAGTCCTATTCATTTCCATATATACAAATTGTTTTGTTATTTGTTACTCTCTTATCATGGATGATGTGTTTGATTAACTGCGTACTTCTTACCAGCCCTTCACTTGGCTTGATGTTTGTAAGCTGGATCACTTCAAGGTGGGCCGACTGGGAAACCAGGGGATCAGAAGAGAGTGAGATGATGTGGTCACAGACGCCAGAGAGAGTTTTACACTACGAAGAAAAAATAAAAAGCCGTAATAAGTATACCATTACTAACTTTTTACTATTTAACCTACAACTTGAAATATCACATTGTTAAAGAAATCAGATTAGGGAAGGAAAATAGAGGCAAATATTCTTGCTTCTCAGTAAAGACAAAGGGACCACGTGGGCTGCTCCCATGCCCTCCTAGAGTGAGGTGAATACTTTTGTGCTGTGCTCAGGCAGACAGGGAGTGAGTGCATGGAGACCTCCAAGCTGCTCTCTCCTCGTGTTTTTCACAAAGCCATTAAGTGCCCCAGGCCCCGTTATTTTCAGTTGAAAGTGCAGACATTCAGCACAGATGACAATCAGGCTCTTAAACAACCATGGGCAACTCCCATTAACTCTGAAGTTTATTTTGTACTCATAAAACATGCTAATTGACTTTGGACTGAGTTTCTCATCTTCTGCTGGTGCCAAGTATGATTTACTATTGCAGGCACAAAGATGACAATAAATAACCACTTCACGATGGGATAATTCTTAAACCTGTTATCCTTGGCAGCCTCCTTACAGCAAGATAGAGACAGAAAAAAGATTCTAAAAGGGCTGGAGCTGTCAAATGGGTGCTTTCTATTTTCTCATATCTAACTCCCTCTTGTCAGAGGCAGGGAAGTTGTGATAAATTATTTGTTAGCCTTCTCTCATGTTTCCGTAAGCAAGCAATTTTGAGAGCTCCAGTGTTTTCTACGGAATCCCCTTTCAGCAGCTAAAACCAATTTTTTAGTTCAGGTTTCAGTGTGTTTTGTCAGAGAATTTGGGGATTAGAACATTCTTCTGGTCCCATAACTGCGGGTATCAGCAAAACCAGTGAAGAGGCAGCTTAACTGCCTTTACATGCAAAAGATTAAATTTAACCCATCTCTCCAAATGACTGAAACCCAACTACACCCAACTGCAGCATCAACTACTTCTCCAAGATTGCAAAGCATACTTTTTAAGGTACAGGCATCTACAACAATAATATAGAAACAGGATATAAAACTGGATATAATCTCCACCGACAAGTAACCCTCGTAATTCTAAATGCCAAACTGCAAATGCTTTATGGAGAAAGGAAAGTAAAAAAGCTGCTGTGAGAAAAAAAATAAAAAATAAAAATGCAGTGACAATGGAAACTTAATCTTGTTGCAGACCATCACATGGAAGTTTCCTCCTCAAACTTGACAATCGGCTGGAAAATTTTATATTGTATAGATGGATTACTTTATTCAACAATAATACGAAACATGAATAATTAAAATCAAATGGAAGACATAATGAAACACTACCAATGTGACCTTCTTCCAGAGATAAAATTACTTTCAAGCACAGACATTCACAAACACACACAAATTGCTTCTGTTTTGTTTGTATTTCACGTCACAGCATCGTTAATGAAAAAAGAAATTCAAGGTTTGGTGCTTTACCTGAACTAGGGAGAACTTGAAAAGCTATAATGATCAACTTGACCACAAAATTCATTTTTTTAAGACTTTTTGGATAAAAGAAAACTGGTTTGAGCTGAAACTTACAAAACGGTAAAAATGATATAAAATTCCATAACAAATGAAAACTTAGGGTTTTGTTGTTGACTTCTTTTGGTTTTAAATACAATACTGGTATGTTACCTATACTTTCAATTCTCTTGCAACTGCACCGAAAAGAAATGAAAAATCCTTTTTAGAAACTTAGGACTCAATCTCTCACATGCAAAATGAAAAGTCCTATGCTATTAATTATTTTTTGCTGATTAAAACTGAACTTTTCACATACCTTTAGACTTGCTTTCTACATATATTTCCTATTAATCGCTTTAAAAACTACTAAATTTATGGAGTGTGGGTGAAAATAAGGTGGTGTGAATATTTGTCAAAAGGTGCTCCAGGAATACTGGATGCAAAAATCACCAAGTTAATATGACTGAAAAAAAATACCTGCAGTATACCTCTAGCATTCCTTAAAGATATTTTATTTAAAATCTTTTGACATCATTAATGTTTATAAATATGTAAAGGGTGAGTGTAAGGAGATTGAAGCCAGGCTTTTCTCAGTGAGATCCGATAGGACAAGGGGCAATGAGTGCAAGCTGGAACACAGGAGGTTCCACACAAATATGAGAAAAAACTTCTTCAAAATAAGGGTAACACAACACTGGTATGGGCTGCCTGGAGAGACTGTGGGGTCTCCTCCTCTGGAGACATTCAAAGCCCGCCTGGTATACCTGATAAAGGTGTTCCTGATCTGGCAGGGGCACTGGATTAGATAATCTTTTAAGGTCTCTTCCAACCCCTGACTCCTATTACTTTTTTTCCATCCTAGACATTAATTCTGCTGCCCAATAGGATGGTATCTGGTACATTAGAAGCACAATAAATGAGCTACAGCAAAGTCTCTAACAGGGACTCTAGAGTTAGAGGATGTACTTTCACATGAAGACTTCAGTACTATGACTTTCCTGAAATTTAAGCTCTCATTCAGTGGGAATGCATATACAGCTGGATTTCTAGAAGAAAAAAAAAAAAAAAAAAAAAAAAAAAAAAAATATTAAGGGGAAAAAAAGGGGGTTTTTTTAAAAAAAAAAAAAAAAAAAAAAAAAAAAAAAAAGATATTAAGGGGCAAAACGCTGCTGCATTTAAAAAAAAAAAAAAACGTCTTTTCTGCTTCACGCTTGTCCAGGTTGAGTACAGAGAACCTCTAGAAATCCATTTAACGTTATCAGGTTTATTACCATATATTTGTATCATGTTAGTGGTGACTAGAAATAGCAAAAGAAAATTGAAAGTACAGAAAAAAATGAAAATAGAGTAAGTTCCTGAATTACTTCTTTCAGTTTCTGATCAACAGAATTAAATCTTTTTCTTCTAAAAGAACACTAATGGACATAAGTGATTCAATAAAACAATATGCCATCAACTAATAGTCCGTGAAGACAGTTTCTCAAGAAACAGTCATTCAACATAATGAGACCTAATCACAACATTACTTGCTTAATAATTGTGGAAAAGCTTTGTCCAGAAACCTAATTTCATTAAAATAGGTTTTGTCTGCTTCTGAGAACCTTCCTTTCCTTTGGAGAGAGAATGATGTTTATTGCAGGAGGATTTTGAACTTAAGCTCACTGCTCTTACATAATGAACTGACATATTCATGTTCCCTAGGCTTCCTTTATTTCACATATATTTGCATGGCAATAAAGGAATGAGCCCGATTTGTTTTTAACTAAGCTGGTCAAGAGATTTCTGAGTAGTATGTATTTTCTGTTTTGTCGCTCCAACAAAACGTATAGACCTAAGGAAAAAAGAAAGAAAAAAGAAAATGGGTTTGGGTTCTGCCCAACAACCCAAAACTTTCAGCTGACATAAGCAAATACACAGCAACACATTTTCTTCTGAAAGCATAAGTCTGCCAATGTCAGAATTCCCACAGAATCTCACAAGTCTCTCTTAACTATTATACATTCAAGTACCTTGATGAAACAGTTTGTAGTTAGAGTTAGACTGCAAGCAAGATCAAGGGTCTATCAAGCTAGTGTGAAGGGTAACTACCAGAACTCTAAGCATGCCCAGAACAAGGACAGCAAGGAGTACACTTGTGTGCAGTAGCTGTCCTCTCCTCCCTGAAAGAACAGGTTCAGGGGCTGTCACTGAAAACACGACCAGAGGACGATACTGCCAAAACTATGCATTTTTCCTTGTCCTTACTTTCAGAAAAATCTCATTTAGGGTTAGTTTTATTTTGGTTTTGGAAAGTTGATTGTTTGCTTTGATTTTCTTTTTCAGCCCAAGCGAAGTATCTAAGCTCAGATGACTCTGGAATACATTCAAACAGTACATATATGTCAGTTTATAACAAAACTTTATACTAACTGGAAAAAAAAAAAAAAAAAAAAAAAAGTGGGTCTGATTGTAGTTGCAGTCTGGTTCCTGCCTAAATTACCATTGTTAGCTTCACTGGCCAAGACTTTTTAATGTACTGATCAGCATAACATAGTATACAGAGGAAACTTCAGGAGCGTTCTCCATTCCAATTAGGAGTTCAGTGACTTCTTCATGGCAAATGACAAGTTGCCCCCACTCATCTTGAACTCCCCAGAGAGTTGAGAACTTCCATAGCAAAGATGCTGCCGTGGCACAAGAACAATATTAATTTAAAGGAGACATGTTTCTGCACTTAGAAAGTTCCCAACTAAATCACCTTTGACTTCTCTACAGCACTTTTCCTAAATGCTCCACTGCAGCTCATCAGGTTTATTCCACACATTGTTTGTGAGCTCAACTCAAGCAACTTCTCATTTTAAATATACAGTTACATTCAATGCTCTGCTAATTTTTCCCAGACTTCACTGTAGCATTCACTTTGGCAGAAGCGAATGGAACAAATTATGTAGGTGAAAGAAATGCTTAGGCTTTTTATTAATGATATATTCTTTGAGAGAAATAAATGGACCAACATGCTTTCATATATGCTACTGAATTAATTTGAGTGGAAGAAAAGCACATCAACAGCATACATTTGTTGCTCAATTTGTTCCATATAAGACAACACTTTTCACCTTAGCTCTTCAGCACAAGCTGTATCACAGGCATGCATTTATGCTGCACTAAAATCTGTTGTCAGCTCCTCTCCCCTTTTCTCTAAAGTGTTAGTTACCTTTTGCTTCTTTGGAAAACTAAATTTCTGATTGTGAAGACATTGTTAACAGGATCAGAATGCTACATACTACTTTCATAACTGCTGATTCCCTACTGCAATATCATTTAGAAACACATGACTTTAGAAGCTAACAGACATGTAAATACACTGAATTAATTTTGGGGCCATAACTGCTCTTCAGCCCTGGGTTGGACATCCTGTTAGTTCTTTGCAAGGATGAAAGAAAATAGTGTTACCCAAATTAACCTAGCTCTTTTCCATTCGCCACTTTCTGGACTCCAGCAGAGAAAACAGGCTTCTCAGCAAGAGGTAATGAGTGAAAGAACAAGGTGAAA